CTCTGTAAACCGCTTAGAGAGGGCTGAAAGCCCTATGAAGCGGTATATAAGTCTAACTGCTATGGCTATTAAGTCTAACTGCTATTGCTATGTAAGATTTAGATTGTCTTGGCAACGTTTCTGCGAGGTCTCACTCGCCATCTTCAGGCTGGGTTTTGGGCTTAAAGCCTTACATGGGAAAAGACCCGAATACAACAAGACTATATATATTCCAAACACTAGTAAAATTTTTAAAAAAATGTTCCACTCCCAAGAAGCCAAGACATGGAAGAAATCACCACGTTCAAAATTTCCAGTGCCGCCCCCCCCCCCCCCCCCCCCCTTGATCTAGTAAGAAATGCACCTTGTAAAGCTGAGCTCCTGTTGTGTAATTGTGCTACTGTAACTGTAGACTTTTTATGAGTTCTGTTTTATGAGGCTTGGCTTTATGACCGTTGTTATCGCTGTTTTTCCTTTCTCCTGAAGACGGATTTTATGATGCCCCCACTCTGAGCTGTCTCCTCCAGAGGTAATCGTATTCGGAATCAATATCCATCATGACGGTAGCCATATGCAAAATAAAAGAAATGCAGGGGCCAACTTTTTCCTGGAAAAACGTTAGCCGCCTCCTGGCTCATCCTGGCCGGAGCCACGAAACTCCCACAACAATCAGGAAGTCAGGAGGAAGCTGCCCGATGCATTTTTTGGGGTGGGTTTCCAACAACTCAACTCAGCAACCTCAAATCCACAAAATGTTGACAAAAACTCCTGCAATGACCGAAAGCAATACAACTAGCCCTCGACTTATGGCTACAATGGACTCCAAAATTTTCGTTGCTAAGCAAGGCAGTTCTTAAGCGCGTCTTGCCCCATTTTGCAACCTTTCCTGCTACAATTGTTATTGCTGCGGTCGTTAAGAGAGCAACACCGTCGCTCAGTGGATTAGCCTTCCCCCATCGTCAGAACCTCTCCAAAGGGGGAGCAGGAGGTGCGTTGCAACCGATTCGCACCGCTTCAGGGGAGCAGGGGGTGGAAATTGGCACCTGCTGGCTGAACTGGTAGGAATGGCAGGCTGGACACCCCCCACCCCCGAACCGGTTCCCCGGTTGCCTGGTTCAATCCTTTCTTCATGTTCTGCACATGCGCAGAATAATTTACTCTCAACTGCGCACACTCACGAAGCGCACGCAAAACACGTGTGCACCGAACCGGCAGCAATGCCGGCGGCAGCCCAGCCCTGCCTGGGACCCTGCGACCGTCATAAGTACAAATCCGTTGCCAAGCATCTGAATTCTGATCGCACAACCTGGGGATGTTGCAACGGTCACAAGTGTGAAAAACAGTCATAAGTCACTTTCTCCAGCGGTGTTTGTTGCTTCAGTTGGCCACTAAACAAAAATCTGCAAGTTGAGGACTATCTGTATGTAAATGATTCTGCAAATTTGCTTCAACCAAAGCCTTTCATTTGTTTAAATAAATAAATCAGATTGAAGCTTGACCAGTTTTAAATTACGTGGTTGATTTCCGGACAGAAAACTAATCTGATTGATGGCCAGTGGCTGTAACTACTTAATCTGCATCCTAACCATAGCAACAAACTAGCCAGCAAAACCTCAAAACTAAAGTTTCAGGGTTTTTTCCCACCCACCTCAAGCAGAAAGTCCAGAAGTGGGTTCCAGCCATTTCGCAGGGCAGAAGGCATCAAGGCCTCCCTGCCTGCCTCCCTTTCGTGGCTTCCTCATTCTAGCTTTCTCCTTCGAACCGGCCATCGCAGGGGGAACCAAAGGAACAAAACGCACAATTTAAAATATTATCCAACGTCAAAATGTTTGCCAAACGGAGCTCGCATTTCATTTGTAACCCTTTGGAAACCGAAGGCCAGAAAACAGCCAAGCTCAGAGAGGACCAAGGACCCCACAGTCCTCCTCCTCCTCCCAAACCCTCCTCCCTTCTAGCGCTGATGATGTTACCTAGTTGGGTCATGAAGCGTCTGCAAGAAAACAGCCAAGTTCAGAGAGCGCTAAGGACCCCTTACCCTTGACAGAGAAAAACAGCGCTCAATAAATCAAAAGTTTGGAAAGGTGGGATTAATGGGGAAAGAGCGGGGGGGGGGACTGGGGAGAGGTATTAAAACAATAGAATTAGAAAAAAGACTGGAAAGAAAAAATATAGAAATTTAAAGAACAAGAAGCAGCTAGGCAAATGGGTGGAGAGAAGAGAATATAAGAGGTGAAATTCCTAAGAGACTAAGAGAAAATTGTTGAGAGGAGGAAAGAAGGAAAAGGATAGAATATAATGAAATTTGGTAAATATAGCCAATGGTATATAGTCAATATGATGTGAGGGAAATAGATTAATACTATTCATTGTGGATAATTAACTGAGTGAAATGTTTACTATATAAAATTAAACTGGATATATGTTATCTATGGTAAAATAGAATAATAGATGGAAATGATACGTTAAAATTTGATTAACCTGGAGAGGCAAAAATGGTATTGTTTATATATTAGAAGAAATTAAAGTTAAGCTGGAAAATATGGAAAGAAAATAAGATGATTGAAATGTGAAATGAAAATATGATGGAAAATGAACTATGTATAATAGAAGATGTAAAGGGGGGAAACCTTGACAGCACTTTGTTTATAAAAGAAGTTAAAATATGTAACAAAAAAAAACTGTGTTTAAAAAAAAAAGCAAAAATCAAAAGTTTGGCTCCAGTTCCTACAATCCTCATTTATAAAACTTTTAAAGCCACAAAACCATTTCCTGTCCCAGGTTTGACGGATCTAATTATCAGCTGGTTAGCAACTAGACAGCCCAGGGAGTGAACAACACCCAGTGGGCCAAAGCAAAGGCTTTCCAATAACTCACCAGCAGGATGGATGACCTCAAGCATGGCTTTCTTTCTGCTGTTTTTAAAAAAGGCACGTTAGCAACGCAATTGTCTGAGCCTCTTTCCTTTGTCATTTTGGGAAGGACATCACACATTGGCTCTGCCAGTTTGCTGGGGTTTTTTTTTGCCAATCTGTCAAACTTAGCTTGCCAAATTAAAAATTCCTATCCATTTTTTTTTTACAGTTCCTGTTAAAAATAAAGAACGCAACTGCGTTCTTCTCACAAACTTCTGAGTGACTGATCCCTGTGGGGAGGAGAGAAAAACTCTTCAAGTATCCGGAAACTCAGCAATCTAAGAGCAAAATTCAAGGTTTTTTTTTTTTCAATCCAGGGATGCTTTAATGCTGGGAAACCCGTCAAAAGGCACAAAGGCCTTGTGTAGTTTTAGATGCAACTGGAGAGAAACTGCTCAGAAGGAGGCGCCTTTGCTGACCAAAATGGGGGACCCCCCTTTAAAAAAACAGTTTTGGGGGGAAGGTAAAGACAAATAAATTAAGAGAGAAGTGGGGAACACGAAACATAATTCTTTGACTGGATTTGGCATCGAGTTGTTTACAAAAATGGTAAAAAGAATTTATTGAATCCAATAAATGATGAAACAAATGCATCAGAGGCATTTCGGCTGCAACCCCCCCCCCTTCTGTTTCCTTACCTCACCCACCCCCACCCCGCAGCCAGACTCTGCGCAGCTCCCCTCCCCATTTTCAAATTGCAAATAGCATTGAAAGCTGGGAAGGTGAGAGGAAGCCAAAGATTGGAAGAAGGGCCCTCCCCCACCTCCCCAGGACTGAAAATGTCTAAGGATTCAATGCAGTCATCAGTAGGACTACCAGCTGTGTCAAGGGCCTGCTCTTCCTCCTCCTCCTCTTCCTCCTCGTTTCCCATCCCTCCTCCTCCTCCTCTTTCTGTCTCACGTCCTCCTCCACTTAACCTCCTCCTCCCCTTCTTTCTGCTTCTCTTCCCCCTCCTTCTTCCTCTTCTGCCTCCCATTCCTCCTCTTTTCCTGTTTCCTCTCCTTCTCTTCCTCCTCTCCTTCTCCCCTTCATATCTCTTCTCCTCCTCCTTCCCCCCCTCTCCTCCTCTTCCTCTTTTGCCGCCTATTCCTCCTCTTCTTCCCCTTCCCCTTCCTTCTCCCTATATCTCTTCTCCCTTTTCCTTTCCCTCTTCCCCTTCATCCTCCTCCTCCTCTCCCAGTATCTCTCCTCCTTCTCCTCTTCCTTTCCTGGCATGTCCCTCCCTGCGCGGCTCCTCTCCAGTTCTGGCCAGCCCCCGCCCACCCCAGGAGAAGCCGAAGGGGCTGCCAGATGCTGTTGGAGAAACAGCTCGGGGCGAGAAGCTGCATGAATCACTGGGAAAGAGAGAGAGAGAGGGAGGAAGGGAGGGAGAGGGAGAGAGAGAGAGAGAAAAGCCCCCCTCCTCCTTGTTCTTTCTCTCCCTGCAGCCCTGACAATAATAACACCCCGATGAGAGCTCCCTCCCTCCCTCCCTCCCTCCCTTAAAGCAATGCAGTAGATTGCAGCATGCAACTCGAGCACACCTCCCCGGGTGCTCCTTCCCCTGCTCAGCCCTGGGCTTCCTAGAGCAGGATTGTTCCTAGGTGCAGCGCAACACAAGGCAGGCAGACAGGCAGACAGACAGACAGAGCATCTTCATCCCCACCCCACCCAGAAAAGAGAGGGACGAATCCAGGCGTTTTTTAAGCCCAGAGGTCTCTAATCAGGAGGCAGGTCTAGAAAGTTGCAGAAGTGGAAGGTTTGGTGGTATGGATGGGGAAGGGAAGGGAAGGAAGGCTGATATGTTATGGGAAGGAAGGAAGGAAGGAAGGAAGGAAGGAAGGAAGGAAGGAAGGAAGGAAGGAAGGAAGGAAGGAAGGAAGGAGAGAGAAAGGGAAAGGAGGAAAAGGAAGGGGGGAATGAGAAGAAGAAGGGAGAGGAGAAGAGGAGGAAGGAAAGAAACTCACAGTAGGTCTTCCTGGTCAGCTCTTCCACCACTTCGGGCTTCAGTTTGCTGTTGGATTTCCCCATGGTGGCCGACGGCTCCTCCAGGCTCAGCAAGGCATCAATGGGGCCCGGCGGCGCTCCGGGGCTGGAGGAAGACTCATACAGGAAGCCTGGCCGGAGGGGGCCAAAGTCCAGGAGGAGAGGGGCCGCCTGGCCCTCCAAATCGGACCCCCCCCTTCGGTCTCCTCACAGATCCCCCCTGAGCCACAAGAAAGAAGCTGAGGATTGGGGGGGGGCGATGGGAGGGACCGGCTGCAATCCGGAGGACCCCTTCTCTGGGCGTCTCTGTCTCTGGAGGGTCTTCAGAGGAGCATCTGCAGATGACAAGCAGCCCTCGGATCCATCACGGTGGGGGGGGGGAGCTGATGTTCTCTGCGTCCCCAAAAGAAAACAACAGGAGAAAGAAGGAGGAGGAGGAGGAGGAGGAGGAGAGAAGGAGGGAGGAAGAATTCCAGAGATGAGGACACGGAGCAGGCAAAGGCAAGGCCAGAAATGAATGGGTGCCTTCCTCCTGCTTCCTCCTTTCCCCACCCAACCGAGGAACCGGGCAGGGGGCAAAGGCTCAGTTCTCCCTTCCTCTCGGCCTCCCCGCAGCCGTGCCAAGTGTTGCCGCGGTCGTCCCTGGTTACAAACACCCTCCTCTGCCTTTCCTGCCCGCCCAGGCTCTGCTCAGCCGCTGCTGCGTTGGGTTGCTGGAGCCGACGCACGGATCCTGCACCAATGAGGGAGGGAGGGAGGCGAAGAGGGCGGGTGGGTGGGCTTGCCTGCCTGCCTGCCTTTTGTCTCCTCCTCCTCCTCCTCCTCCTCCGGCTGGGCTTCTGCTGGGGATCGATCGGGCCTCGGGAAGGGGGTGGGGGGAAGGAAGGAAGGAGAGAGCATGACAAAAGGTAGCCCAGGTACCGTTTGCAAAGGAAGCTCTGAGGCTCAGGGGCTTCAGAACACTTTTTTTTGAGAAGGGGGGGTGGGTTTGTTCTGGGAAGCTTGCAGGCATTGCGTGGCCCAGCCAGGTAACAACTCCAGGATGAGGGGAAGGTGGGGTTTGCTCCCTGTTTTGATGTGAAGCGGATCTAAGCCGGATGGTTTGCTGGAGGACTTTGGGACTCAGCTAGGGAACATCATCAGTGCTGGGGGGAGGGTTGGTGGCGAGGG